CTCCAAGGGGGTAGGCGAGGGAACGCGCCCGTTCTACGCCGCCTCCGCGGGCGGCGCAATGGGGGGCGCGCGGTGGGCGACGCACTTGGATGCTGGGCAGACGGCCTCGAGCGCGGCGTCGGCGTCGATCGCGCCGGCGTCCGCCCAGCCGCGGCGACGCCCAGGGGTGCGTCGCCAAGCCCGCGCCGGAATGTCGTCGCCCGCCAACGCGCAGAGCAACGACGATGCCCCCGCAGTCGGACGGGCCCGCGGTCGGAGCGAGGCAGCGGTCGAGCCAGCGGCGCACCAGCAGCGCGGTGAAAAACCGGTCAATGGGCGGAGGCGGCGGGGCCCCGAGCGCAGGAGACTCATCAGCCCAGAGCGCCGCGCGCCGAGCGCGGGCGGCGGGGCCGCCCGCGGCCTCTGACACGGCCGGGGCGTTCCGGCGGCCTTCCTTAGGCTGCGGTTCGAGGAGTTTCTGGGCGAATTCGCGCTGTTAAGGGAGCGCGAGAGTCCGCTGGCTGTCCACGCGGCGAATGTCCCAGCCGTCCACGACCGCGCCCACACTCAGGGTAGTTGAGCCCAAGGTCGAGGCGGGAGGCGAGGGAGCTCGGCGCCAAGGCTGCGGCAAGGAATTATCTCCAGATGCTGGGCTGCCCATCGGCGCCTCAGACACGCTGGAGGCGCACGAGGAGAGCCTGCCGCGCGAACGTGCGAAGGCGGCGGCTGGGCAGCCGAACGGCGGGCCGCCTTGGCAGGCTATAGACCGAACTCATGGCTCTCGGGGCGCACGCGCGCACCAGGAATTGAGTGAGAAGTTCGTTGGGCCAGTGTGCGGGTTCGGCCTGCGTGGACTTTACAAAGTCCCGCCACGCGGCTGTTTGCAGATTCCCCAGTTGAACGTAGTGCTTGGCAACGAGGGCCTCGTCGTGGCGGGAAAGGTCGGGGACGGGGGCGTCGGCGAGGCATTCGAATGGGGCGGCCAGAGGGGGCGGCAGCGCCGCCCGAGGAGGGGGGCCTGCCCGCTAGGCGGGCGACTTGGGGTCCTCCTCATGGTCAGTTAGGCCGCGGGAACGCGGGCGCGGGTCAGCGGGCGGCGCCGCCCCGCTGGAGCTGGCCCCTCTCGGGGCCCCGCTGCGCAGCCTCGACCTCTCGGCGCGGTCAGGCCCCGGGGGGGATCCACCCCGGCGCATTCGTTCGAGGGGGGATGCACTCTGGGGGATACACGCACGCGCGCACTTTTGGCGGCAGCGGCCTCGCGCGCAACGACTATAGTCGCTGCGTGCGAGGCCTACAGACGGAGCGGAGCGTGTAGCAGCACGGCGCGCGCGACGGCAGGGCTTCCAGCACGCGCGCGCATTTTTTTTGCGTCGGCAGCTGGGTAGAGAGGGCGACTGCTCCAGCGATCGGGCAACTGGGGGGCGCACTGGATGCCAATTCAGGCCGCGAAGCACGCGGGAAGAGGAGGAGAGCCCGGCGCGACGGGAAGAGGGGGAGCCGGGCCCGCCCAGGCCAGTCACCAGCTGCGGCGGGGGGGGGGAGCGCCGATGGGGGGGGCCAGCAGCGACGCGGGGCAGCAGCCAGGGAAGGGCCAGGCAAAGCCAGATGGGGGAGCAACACACGCGATACGGTGACAACACCAATGGGGGAGCCGGCAGAGCAGGCGGACCCAGGGGCGGGCCGAAGCGCCGAGGCAAAGAAGCCGGCTTGAAAACCAGGCAGGCGAGCGGGTGCCCAGGCCCAAGGCAGCCAGGGTCGCCCGGGCGGCCAAGGTGCAGGCCAGGAGCGCCCGCGCGGAAAGGGCGGCCCACCGGCGCAGAGGGAGCGGCCCACCCGCGCGGAATGGAGCGGCCCGCCAGCGCAGCAGGGAAGCGTCCCGCCGGCGAGGCGCGGAGGGAAGCGCCAGGAGGAGTGGGGCGGCCCACCTGCGCCTTGCGCGCCTGTCTAGAAGGGGACGGCCCACCTTAGCGGAAGGGCGAGCGGCCACCAGCGGATGGCGGAGCGGCCCACCAGCCAGGCGCGGAAGGGGGAGCGGCCCAACCGCGCGGCGCAGAAGGGGGAGCGGCCAGGGCGCCCAAGGAGAGGCACCGCATGGGAGCAGTGAGCGAACAGGCCCACTGGCAGAAGTGCCGAGGGGACCGCGAGCTGGTTCGAAAACCAAGCAAAGAGGGGGCACCGAACAGGTGCAAGAATGGTCAATGAAGGAGCACTCCTTGCAGCCAGGCGCGCATTCCGCAGCGGAAGCGCCCCGGCGCACGCAGGGCCAGCGGCAGCCTCTCGGCGCAGCCGCAAGAGAATCAGGGCGACGACGAGGCCAGGAGGTGGAGGAAGCTGCGAGTGAAGGCTGCGTCGCGTCGACCGGGGCCCCTGATGCCTCCGCCGCACTGACAGCAACACCTGGCCCAGGCCGCACTGGGCTCGCCGCCTGCTCGCTGCATGTCCTTGCTTGCGGCGGCCAGGGCTCCGTTGGCATGGAGCGGGCCGTGGCAGAAGAACCTGGGGCAGGGGCGGCACGCCCCCC